TGTTATTATAAAGGTGATATACAAAGGGGTTAAAGTTACATAAGTCAGGTAAAGAGTACATTTCTTTTTGGACAATGCCACCCCTCACTCTTTCCCAAGCAACCATTAAGTTTTGCACTTGAAGTTTGCCTTAACTTTTCAGACAAATTTTTAAGTTTCTTTTGACAAGAAGGTTAAAATGTAGGTACGTGCTTTTCTTCCGGAGAAGGATTTCTGTGATTGAAATGGGCCCTTTGTCTTATTCATAAGCTATGCCATGTTTCCAGAAGACTTAAAGCAAGGGAAATGGAGAATATTCCAGATGTACTGTGCAGTGACAAAGAACAGTTGAAAATGAGAATAAGAATTTTGGGGTTGAGGAGATTGCTCAGTGGTAGAGTGCTGGCCTAGCATATATGAGGTCTTGTGTTCAATCCTCCCAGCACCACAATAAAACAAAGTAAAAAGGAGGTTTTCAAATTGTGTTTTTGTTTCTTTATGACATTGGAGTTTGCAGGTTTATAAGGCAACAAAAGTAACAGAGTGAAGAATTTTCTGGTGAAAGTAAATAGAAAAGATTTTTTGTTGAAAATCATGAGCCAGGGTTTGGGAGGTGGCTCAGTGGTAGAGTGCTTGCCTTGCATGCATGAGGCCTTGGGTTCGATACCTCAGCACCACATCAGCAGAAAAAGCTGGGAGTGGCACTGTGGCCCAAGTAGTAGAGCGCAAGCCTTGAGCTGAAGAGCTGAGGGACAGCGCCCAGGCCCAGAGTTTAGGCCCCAGGACCAACAACAACAAAAGAAAATCGTGATTATTCTACTATTAGTATATCATAATAACTACTAGTGTATTATACATTTTTTGCTAATTTTCCTACGTACATCTTTCAAATTGTTAGTAATTTTTTCACTTTTCCCATTATAAATATGAAAGCAGCCAAAGGAAATACACAATCACAGTCACAATGAGACATTCTGAGGACAGCAGGTTCTGCTCACTTGGGCTAGGAGTAGAAAACAGAGGAAGAGAAAGACCACAGGAGTTCAGATTTCCATGTTGTCACTTGTCATTGAGAAAGAAACTTCTGAGGGGGAGAGTATGGGAATGAATTGCATTCTTCAGATTTGGGGGGCATTACATGGAGACTTCTTTGGACAAACTCACAGGCAATAGAGGGATTGTCCTTTTCAGAACAGACAGTACTGTGTCATCTTTCAGTTAACTGCTTGTCCTTCATTGTTTCTGCTGTTCTTGCTATTCTTACACTGGGCTGGGACTTGTAATTTAGTAGAGGCTCTAAAGGTGTGTTTGTGTTTTATACAGATTTTATGTTCCTAAAAACTCCTAGAGAAAGGAATTAAATTTTTTCAGAAGGCAATTCCTTCT